GCTGGCCGACAACAATTATTTGAAACCAGCCACCGCCAGCCCCACAGAGAACGCGACTAAATGAAGGTAGCTTGTTCGGTCAAAACCGCGCCAGATCGTACGGCCATATAAAAACAATAGCCTTTTTGGAATAAATGAGTAGCCTGCTTAACTTGATGAACTCATTTTAAATCGGTTAGCGATGAACTGGTGGATCGTGTTTCAGGTAGGTCGTTGGTTAACCAGCCTAACTGGCCTATCGGAAGCCTATTTGCTGAACGATGAAGCATTTTTCGCGCAACCGGTCAGTCAGCAGACAATGGTGCTGAGTAAGCCTGATAGCGCTCTTTTGGATGTCGCTTTGTTTCAGGCTACCAATGAAGCCCGCCGTGTAGCGGGCTTGCCCATTCTCCAGTTCGATTGGGCGTTGTACCGGGCTGCCCGAAGCCATGCCGAATCAATGATTCAGTATGACTATACGAGTCATGAAGACCTTTATAAGCTATCTGACCTGACGCTACTGAAACGGGTTCAGAAACAGACAAACCGTTTCAGCAGGATAGCCGAAAACATCGGTAAATACCAGACCATCGATACGCCCGAGTGGTTTGGCGTGCGGTTCAATGCCCGGCGTCAACAATACGACTACCTGGATTCGGAGAATAAGCAATTGTATGGGCCTTACACCTACGCGGGTTATGCCCGGTATGCGGTGATGCAGTGGCTCAATTCGCCCCATCATCGGGCCAACCTCCTGAACCCTTTATATACCCACGTAGGTTGTGCTGTGCGTTTATCGGCTAATCCGTTTAAGCAGCGTCGCCCGCCGTTCGGCCAGTTGGTCCAGAATTTCGGTACACCGCATATTACTACTCAGGTTGGTCGGTAGCGAACGGCTGATGCCGAACGATAGATGCCGCCCCACAAATCGGTGATCACTGGTGAGGGTATCATGCTTCTTTTGTCTGGCACTGCTACTCATCGTTAGCCGCAGGCCTTTCGCCCATCCGTTTTTCTATCTGTTATTGCTTCATGATTTCAGGTTTGCCAGTACCCACGCGGGTTGGCGAGACATATATTCCCAAAAGTATCAGCGATTGACTCATTTGTGACAGGGCTTCCTCGGCTGTGTGCCGACCTTTGATCTATCAAAACAGATCATTAATCACAAAACACATAGATCATGAAAGCGCTCATTCAATCCCCTCGTCATTGCCTTTTCCTTAACCATCGCTACGTTCTCTGCTTCATTTGCGGACACCAATCCGGGTGGACGCCCTGCCACGGTAGCCAGCTATAAAACGGGAATGTATACCACGGCAGAAGGCAAGCTTCAAGTCGCTGTCGACAAAGAAGCGACGGGTGCCGTCGACATTCAACTCGTGAATGCAGCCGGTAAAGTGCTGTTTGCTCAACGGGTTGCCAAAAAAGAAACGGTGGCCCGCCTTCGCCTGACAGTAAGTGATTTGCCCGACGGAGTGTATCAGGTACGGGTCAGCAATGGCGTTGAGGTAACGACTCACTCGGTGACCTTATCAACCAACCAGCCCAGTTTTCCCAACCGTCTGGTGGCTATCAACTAAAACGAGTTTCCTCCTGAACCCACAAGGGGCTGCCATTCGAGTGAATGGCAGCCCTTTTTTATAAGAACCTGATGGCTCGCCAGAACCGCCAGATAAATGCTCGTTCTTCGCGCGAAACACCATGGT